CCCCCCCCCTGTGCACGCCTCAACCCTCCGACTCACCGCCTGGAGAGACGCCGCTCGACCCCTCGACCCCTGTACCGCAGCCCCGTAGCACAGCCCTGCGCCTGTCCCTTCAGGGGTCGCCGGCCCGACAGTCCGAGCGAGTGGCGCCGGCGGGGCGGCGGAGGAGCTGGCGGCAGGAGGCGGCGCCGGAGGAGGCGGCGACGGAGCGGGCGGCGGCGTGGCTGCGCTCTGGAGGTACGTGCTCGCGCCGTCCGCCGGCCCAACGGCTGGCACGCCCCTCTTCAGCGTCGCCGCCCGCTCCGAGTTTGAGTTTGCGGACGGCGGCGGTGGCGCGGCCCCGGTGATCGTCGCTCACACGCTGCGCGGCTTGCGGGTCAACAATCGCGAGGCGCTGCCGCAGGCGCCTCCTCCATGCCTGGCTGGGGCGAGCCCAACGCCACCCGGAGACATAGACAGCGCTTCTCTGGTGGCATAGGAGCTGCTCGGCCGACTCAAAGGCGGCACTCTGCCCCTGCTCGGCGCGACGCTCGTCTCCGTCACAGAGGGCGCGCTGGCGCCGCTGCAGCCGGCGGCCTCTTCTTCCTCCTCCTCCTCCTCCTCCTCCTCCTCGCCCCTGAGCGCGTCGTCGACGACGCCGATCCCGCCCGCATTCGCGACGACCGCCCTCTCGCTGCTGCGGTCGCTGCACCAGCAGGTCCCCGCCGCCCTCACCGCGCCGCTCGACCTGGCCTCCCTCTGCGAGGAGGAGGTGCGGCGGGGAAGGGGAGGGCCACGAGGCACTCTCTCGACGCCCCCCGGCCCCCAGCCCCAGCCCCGCCCGACCGAAGGTGCGCCTCACCGGCCTCCTCGGCGAGCGACTCCTCTCCGGCCGCCCGTCGCTCGCCCGCGCGCTCGCCGCAGCGCGCCGCCTCTACGCTGGCGCAATCGCGCAGGGCGGAATGGCCGTGAGCGGCGACGCCGAGGCGCCGCTCGCCGTCCGCGTCGCTCTGAGCGCCGACGGCGACGTGCTGCTCCGCTGCCGCCTGCCGGCGCGGCTCGGCGCGGCGGCGGCGCTCGGCGCCCCCGGGCTGCCACTCACGGTCCGGTTCGAGCTGCGGCTGCAGCTCGACGGCGCGAGCGGCCGCGTGCGAGAGGTGCGCATCGAGGCGGTCAGCGTCAACGGCCGCCCGCTGTTGCCGCGAGTGCTGTCGGACTTGGTGCGCGGTGCCGCGCCGCCCGGCGGCGGTGCAGACCCAGGAGGCGGAGGCTTCGAAGCCGTGCTGGCTTCGCTCGCGCCGTGGCTGCGCGAGCCAACGAGCTGACACCGAATGATCAACTAGATGATCAATGTCGCGAGTACTGCACGGTAGCGCAACGGTACGATCTACGATGTCCGTCGCTAAGAGAAAGAATACGGAGACCAGGAGTTGCGGGTCCGGCGGTGGAGAAATACGGCACAGCCACAGCTCAGGCCACACACCCACAGCGCCGAGAGGGATATCCGCCCAGGCTGAGCACAGCACGAGCGACGTCGACGAGCGAGCGCGGTTGCTCTTCCCCCAGGATTAAAGTAGTCTTCTCTGCCTGCGGGAACACCCTCGGGCGGCCGGGTGGGGCTGCGGCTGGAGCTAGCATAGCTCGATAGAGCCGAGACCCGGTGTTGAGGCGGCGCTCCTTTGGGCGGCTGTTGAATCAGCAGATTCCACCTCATCTCTCCAGTACTCTCATCCCAGTGGATGGACGTCCGTAATTTATCCCCATGATCCCGACGCGATGTGTGGAAGACTGGAAGACGGCTAGTAGCGCACCACACGCAGGTTGTTATTGTGTTCATATTGTGTGACTGATGAGAAAAAGGTGTTTCCTCGGGAGCACCCCACTAGCATCGTTTGATGCCTTTCTAAAATTCTCGGCGAGGCACTTGCGGTGTAAAGTTTCTTTTTCTGCCCAGAGCGGTGGTTGAGGCCGATTGCCTCAACTGTCAACCACGTGGTTGACAGAGGCCTCAACCCTCAACCAAGTGGTTGACAGACCCCTTCAACCCCTCAACCACGCGGAATGGCTGTCCACACACACACACCCGTGCAAAGGTCTGAACACATTCTCTGTGAACCATTCATGTCGTCTTCTTTAGACGCCTGGATGCTGCATTTGACGCGCCGTTTTTACGAGTACTTGCTTCAGCTACGTGCGTGAATGGAGGTGTGATGCAAGCCCGGAGGAGCGCTGACAGCCATCGAAGGCCCCCGCGCGGGGGGGGTCCCGGCCGACGAGCGACGTCATGGTCGTCCGCGGACGCGGCCCTCCGTCTCCGGAGACATTACCGAACTCAAAACTGCTTACCAAAGGCAGATACGAGCTCAGCTCAGTGAGATCTAGCAGCACATACCCTCAGTATCCAGGATAGTAAAGTCTGAAAAAGTCGGTCCGACCGCACACTAATGTGCGCGCAGAGCGGTCTGGCTGTCTGCCCTGGGGTGTCGACGGGCCCCCGGGGGCGACGGGGGTGCTCTCCGGCCGCGGCGGCCGAAAACGGGGACCTCCTTTACGGTCCTTTAACGAAGTGATGCACTTGATGCAAGGGTGCCATTGTGCTCTACTACAAAAGTTGTGTAAGATGCCCAAGTCTCAGACGCTGGATCCTTAGCGGAGCTGAGTTCTGACGGTGTGAACACGAGCAACCGGAGTGACGACCGGGACCGGGCCGTACGCCGGGAGTGCCCCGACTAGCAGTGACGGGCGCGGACGAGCGAATGAGAGGTTGCTATCTGTGGAAGATGTGTTGTTAGGGACTAGGACTGCCTATCTCTTACTGAAAGGGACCTCTCATTCGCTCGTCCGCACCCGTCACCGCTCACGGAGTGCTCCGCGTGCCGCACCGGCCGCCGCCGGCCGCCGGCCGCTCACGCAACGGAACAATCTTACTACTCCGCAACGTTGAGCTGGATCAAACTGAATAGTGCTCCTGAAAGCCCTCTCTCTGGGCTCTGCCACACAGTAGCAGCTCATGACGAGCAGCTGCTGTGACTGTATTTGTAGCCATTTTTAGGCTTCAACTGGTCCCAAAATAGTAGCAACACCTCATGAAAATCAGTCAAAAAAGCCCCAAAAAATCGGCGCCTGCGGCGGGCTACCTGGGGCTGCGCCCCAGACCCCCTTGACTGGGGGGACCCCCCCCAAGAGCACCCCCGTCGCCCCCGGGGGCCCGCCGACACCCCAGGCTGTCTGCAGAGCTTCCGTCCGAGCCCTGAGAAATGTCGGAGGCATGTCGGCCCATGTTCGCGCGATTTTGATGGCGTTGCCCTTATTGCACGTGAAACAGACCGCGCCGGCCACGCACCCTTGTTCCCGGAGGCCAACTCGAACAGGTTTGAGCAATGGCCGCCTTCCATGCTCTCGATCCATGCTCGACACGTCCGCCCGCCATCAAGTTGTACGTTGAGTGGCAAAATGCAGCAGGAACTTAGTTGCCTCGAAGGCCGCCCTGCTCGAAGGCCGCCCTGCTCTCGGCATTGTGTTGTTGACTGATAGCACTGTCTGATCCAACCAGAAAGAGCCGTCGAAGAGCCGTCGAGCTACATGAGACCCAAGTCGTCGTGATGTACCAGGAAACAAAACTAGCGCCAAAATTGAGATCTCAGGATTGACATTATTTCTCGCGCCTGCTTTCGCTGCTTGAGGCTCGCCAAACAGATCCTGCGTCTATGGCCGTGTGCAACGTTAAGTCGTTAACCGCGACAAGACCATCGCGCCAACCGCGACTCTGTTGCTTTTATGCGGCAGCATTCACCGTGACTCTTGCCGTGGATGGTTAGTGACCGCAATACTACGCCGTGAGCTGAGCTTCACCAGCCGTTTCTCTTCCTTCCCTTGCCTTCTCTTGCCGTCCGTTCTCTGTGCGCATTCGACCTCTGCATGCGGCATCACACGCGTCTTCCTGCCGGGGGCGCATCTGATCTTGTACCAGGTAGGCCATCGCTTTGCTGAAAGATCAGGCGCCTGAATGGCGACAGTGAGCGTCTCCTACTTATGGATTGCGCTCGAGGTAGAGGAGCAAGAGCGCGCCGCAGGCGAAGCGATTTTTTGGCGGCAGGGCTGTTCCAGTTTATCTTGTGATCACGCGCGAGCCTGTGAATAGGCCCCGGAGGCCTCAACCCTCAACTAAAGGGTTGACGGGGGCTTTTCCAGCCGTTACGGAAAAGCATGCGCGACGCTGCCTCTTTGCACCGCTCGCTCGCGGCTGCGGGAGACATGGCCGCCGATGCGGCTCGCACTCGCTCGGCGGGCCTCCGTCCCACAGCCGCCCGGGCGTGCCACGGGTCTGCCTGGCGCTGCGCTGCTCGCACGCTGCACTGCACAAAGCTGCGACAACAAGGGGAGGCTCCTGAGCTTGAGCGTTGAGCAGTGCAGCTGCGGGCGCTCGTGGGCGGCTGTGCAGTGGTGAGAGTGCCTGATTGGAGGCGAGCTGGTGCTGCGCCAGGGTGCGCAGCATGCGCTCTCGCTCTGTGCTGAGGCATGCTGGCTGGCGCCCAACACAATGCCCTGGATGCATTGCTCCATGCCGTGCTGGCTGGTGCAGTACTGCCAGTGCGCCGACTGGCGCGCAGGGTGCGCGTCGCCGCGCGTGGCACGGGTGGCTCGAGAGGCGCGGCTGTCGTTCAACCCCGCGGCGCCCATGCGCCGCGGAAGCTGCTCGACAGGCTGCGGGCATCGCTGCGTCAAAAGCGCCCGCCCTCTGCTTTGCTTTCGCCCGCGTTTTACGACAAGTTTCGGTTTATCATAGCCGCCGAAATTTACCTCGCTGTTTCTTTATAGGCGTCTCGCAGCTGCGTATTCTTGTATGCTCGTGTTATCGTCGCGTAGTACTGCGTCGGGGCGGTACGTATTCTCGTATCACTAGCTCCGAGTAGAGGGGCGGCGTTCTGCAGTTAAGGGGAAACCTGGTACACGGAGCCAACCCTCGGAGAGTATTCTTTAGCTCCGAGTAGAGGGGGCGTCCTGCAGTTAAGGGGAAACCCGGTACGCGGGGCCAACCCTCGGAGACCCGTGTTATGGCCCTGCGACCGCGCACCCCCGGGGCTAGGGCTCTCTAGCCCGTAACCCGATACCGAGCGTCCGGCCAACTGGGTGCGCTTCTTAGCTCCCCGGTCCTGGACGTGAGGTTAATGACCGCACTCCAAGTGCTCCAAGGGGGGTCTCAACCGTCAACCAGATGGTTGAGGGGGGGCCTCAACCCTCAACCCCTCAACGCAACCAGTCGGCATGGTGAACCGGACGGTGGCCGCGTGTCTCATCAGCGAGCTGATGAAGGACGCCTCGCGCATCGTCAGCGGCTCGCCGCCCTTCATGCAGAGAGAGAGAGAGAGATTTCATGCACCGCTCAGCATCGCGGAGGCGGCTAGCACTGTCGCGCTTGAATGCCGGCATTCAAGCGATCTCTGTGGCGTGGACGGCACGCCGCCATCGTGCGAGGGAGTTTGGAGCACTTGGAGCACTTGGAGTGCGGTCATTAACCTCACGCCCAGGACCGGGTTTGCTTGTAAAAGGCATCACTGTGCGATTTCGGGGCCCGGGGTCTGCGTTTACGGAAAAATTTCCGTGTCTCAAACGTGTCTCAACTCGAATCGTCGATCGAATCTCATAATAATGTGTATTTCACACCCAACCAGGTTTCCCCCGCCCGGGCTTTGTGTGTGCACACATGTACATGCGGCCGCCTATCTCCTCTCAGCCCCCTGCGGCGGGCATCTCGCTCTGCACAGGCGCTTTGCAGCAATCCACTTATCTAGCTGGCGCTGCTTCGCCGTGCTCGCCGCTCGCCGCATTCCAGCCTTCGGGACCGGGGGGGGAGGCGTTCACACGGTTTAGCATTCCAGCTGACCAGGTGCCGCAGAGGGCGCAGCAGTTTGGCGGCAAGGACTGGAAGCGCGCGGTCGCGACCGCCGTGCTGGCCGCCGCGCTGGCTGCCTCATCCATCACCGTCGGGCCCGCCGTGCTTTCGCCCGGCGCACGAGCGGCGCTGCCCGCGCTTCGGGTCGAGCGGAGCGCCGCGCTGGCGCTGAGCGAGGAGCAGGCGCTGGTGCAGGATGTGTGGCGCGAGGTGAGCAAGCAGTACGTGGACGGCAGCTTCAACGGGCTCGGCGCGGATGGCTGGAAGGCCAAGCAGAGCGAGGCGCTGCGGGGCCTCGCGGGCAAGCAGGGCGGCATGGGCGAGGCGTACGACGCGATTCGAGAGATGCTCCGCGCGCTCGGCGACCCGTACACGCGCTTCCTCGACCCGGAACAGTACGACGCGCTCGTGAGCAACTACGCGCGCGGCGACGGCGCGGGGATCGGGGTGCAGCTGCAGCTCGACCCGCAGACCGGCACCGTGGTGGTGCTGCAGGCGGTGGCGGGCGGCCCGGCGGCGCTCGGCGGCGTGCTGCCCGGCGACGAGCTGCTGCGCGTGGACGGCGAGAGCGTGGAGGGCGCCACCGCCGAGGTGTGCGCCGCCCTGATCCGCGGCGAGGCGGGCAGCGAGGTGCGGCTTGCGGTGCGGCACCCGGGCGGCGGCGCGAGCGGCGGCGGCGGCGTGGCGGAGCTGCCTCTCGAGCGTGCGCGGGTGAGCGCCAACGCGGTGGAGAAGGGCTCCCTCCTGCTGGCGGGCGGCAAGCGGGCGGGGCTGGTTCGCATCTCGGCCTTCACGCAGGAGACGGCCGCGCAACTGGTGCGGGCGGTGCGCGACGTGTCGCCCGGCGCAGAGGCGCTGGTGATCGACCTGCGCGGCAACGCGGGCGGGTACCTGCCTGCGGGCGTCGAGGCGGCGCGGCTCTTCCTGCCGCCCAACGCAAAGGTGGTCTCCGAGGTGCGGCGCGACGGAGTGGCTGAGGTCTTCTTCTCGGAGGGCGTCGGCTCGGAGACGCGGCTGCCTCTCTACCTGCTCGTCGACGGCCGCACCGCCAGCGCCTCCGAGGTCATGGCCGCCGCGCTGCAGGACAACCGGCGCGCGACGCTGGTGGGGCCGGGCCGCACGTTTGGCAAGGGGCGCATCCAAAACGTGCAGCGGCTGGTGGGCGGGAGTGGCGTGTCGGTCACCAAGGCGCGGTACGTGACGCCGGCTGGCCGCGACATCCACGGCGTGGGGCTGCTGCCCGACGTCGTCTCGGCCGCTTGCGGCGCAGCCGACAGCGCGGCGGCCTGCATGGCGGGGGTGAGGGTGTCGAGCACAGACGTGCAGTCAGGAGCCGCTTCGCCAAAGGCGCTCTAGGGAACAAGAAAACTCGCCTCCGATTTCTTTTTCCGTTTGGCATGCACATGCCCGAACCCCGTTGCGCTGGCGAATAAAGGACCACGCCTGCTATTCACAGCACAAGCTTTTGCCTGGCGGCTTCAGCATGTGCAGCGAAAAGCATCCTTTTTCCAGACGGATCCCCCCCTTGAGCCCTGTAGTGTGTAGAGCCCAGCGCAAAGCCAAAGGCCAAAGCGCCAAGGAGGTTTTTCTTGTCACAAAAGGCTGTAAAAAAGTGTGTAGTCTCTACTCGCCAGGACGGCACGCCGCCACCACACAGGTGCCCAGTAAAAATAAATAAAGAAAACAGACAACTCAAAAAGAAAGAAATAAAACGGACACCCCAAGGGAGGGATGGGAGGACGGCACGCCGCCACCACACAGGGATTTCAACTCAAGGGAGGTAGGTAGGTAGGTAGGTAGGTAGAAAGGTGAAGAACAGCCAGGCTCGGACTGGACACCAACGCGGTATGGGTGGACGCTGGACAGATGATGACGACACGCACGAGCGACACACAGACACAAACAAGCTCACAAGACACACAGCCAGCGGGCTGCCACACACCCTGAGTCGGCGTACACATAACTCAAGGCCATATCCTCCCTGTCGCCCCCCCCAGCACTCCAAGGTGCCAAGAGTACAAACAAGGGCACAACGACACAACAGACGACAGGAAGTGATATGCGAGGCTAGAGCGGGCTTGCTCTACCTCCAGCAATCTCTCCGGCCGGCGAGGCACGGACGAGACCGTGTGTGGGGTCTAGTGAGGTGTCTATGGACGCCCTCCTCAGAGGCTAGCTGCCTGCGGCTAGCCCTTCTCGCACTCACAGGCGATGACAACCCAATGTATGAGTGTATGCAAGCAGAGGCGCGTGTGCTAATTCTAGGCCGCACGTCGTGGCACTATGACGGAGGTAGACGTGCGACCGCAGCGCGCCCACCACAGTCTCGGTGGTGCGCGCGTGTTAGCGATAGAGTTGGCAGTTGCGGGGAGAGCCATGCCCGACTTTTCGAAGGCGAGCCCCACGCCACGGATGCCAGCCGTGCTTTCGCGGGGGTCGCTCTCGAGCCGGTCTCCCCCCCTCCCCCGGCCTGAGCAGCGGCGGATGGACGGCAGCCCCTTGAGTCGAGGGCGGCGCGACCATTGCCGCTCTCCAATGACCAGAGGCCCGGTAACTGCAGATGGTCTCGCCGCCCCGCTCCGCCCCGCCCGCCGCCGCGCCGCGCCGCCGCCCGGTGATTATTAATTCATTCAAGGGAGGAGCGACCGCAAAATTCTTTTTCCGCGTTCCTGCGAGGGCGGCCCCTGGCGCTGTTGCGAGCTTCCGCACACATGCCCTGCGCCGCGCTTCTACTCGCCAGCCTCGCCGCCTTGTCGCCAACGCAGAGGTTGGCCCGCGACGGCTTTGCCGTCTTTGATGGCGTGCTTTCCCGAGAGCAGACGGCGGCCGTCCGCGAGACGGCCGAGGCCCTCCGCAGTGGCGGCGCGATGCGCAACCTGGGCCAGGACGGGCGGGACGACGAGGTCCTGACGGTGGATCTCGGCATGCTCCGCGACCCGAGCTACAGCGGGCTCATGGACGCGGCGCGGGTGCTGGCCGGGATGCCCGGCATGCTCGTGGAGTCGGGCCGACGAGATGAGTGTGCCGCAGAGACGGCGGCGCAGTTTGCGAGCGCGTCGACGCCGCGCCTGCTGATGCTCGCCCGCTACCCTCCCTCCGCCGGCGGCTACGTGCCGCACCTCGACAACGACGCCGCCGATCCGGACCACCAGCGGGGCCCGGTCGGGCTGCGCGCGTGCGACCGGGTCTACACCTGCATCCTCTACCTGCAGTCGGGCTGGTCCGAGGCGGACGACGGGCGGCTGAGGCTGCACCGGCCGCGGGGCCGGGCGGAGCGCGGGGAGGCGGCGGCGGCGGCGGTGGAGGAGGAGGAGGAGGAGGGGTGGGCCTTCGCGGGGCGAGACTACGTTGACGTCGAGCCGGTCGGCGGCCGGCTTGTCGTCTTTGACTCGAGGAGAATGCTGCACGAGGTGCGGCCGAGCTTCGCGCCGCGGTGGGCGCTCACGGCGTGGATCTGACGAGCCGAGCCGCGGGGTTCGACCTCCTCCTCGCGCTGTCGGCCCTTCCCCCACCCCAAGCTCTCCGCAGGAGCAGCACCGAAGCCGCCGCCGCAGCGCCTACCAGCCGGCGATGACCTCTCGCTGGACGCTTCGCTCGAGGCTGGAGGCCGCGAGGGCCGCCCAAGGCACGAGAGGCGCCCGCCGAAATGCTGCCGAGCGCGGCCACCGCCTGGCCGCGGCTGGAGACGGCAACAAACACGCGGTGGGTGGCAGATGCAAGCGCAAGACGGCAAGAGCTCTCCGCCCTCTTAGGCAACTCCGGTACACCGGACGAGCTTTTCGACGAGCTTTTCGAAGAGTGCGCCCCTCTCTCTAGTCCCGTATGCCACCCAGATACCGAGGGCGGGGCGCACTCTTCGACATTGGGCTATTATCTGGCCTCGGGAGGGCGGCGGCGGCGGCGCACAGTCCAAGATGGCGGCTCGCGTCCTGAGGGAGGGTGTAGAGGATGTAGAGTGTAGAGCGCTGTAGAGCTGTAGAGCTGTAGAGCGCTGTAGAGCTGTACATCCGCCACGTGACGATGCGCCTGCGTTGTAGAGCGATGTAGAGCGCGATTTTGCTGTAGAGTTTGTTGTAGAGAGGCTCTACAGCTTAAAGCTTAAACGCCCAAACCGCCGGGAAGGCACAGTGACTCAAAGACGAAAGACGTCGAGTCGCACTAATGGGGTGTCTCCGAGCTTACTGGAGCTCTGATGGACGGCCCTGACTATCCCTGACACACAGAGAGTCACTCTGACGACACACTCAACACCCTACAACTGCGTCATGACCAGCCTGCCATGCGTCGCCGGTGCCGCATTCGTCGCTGTGCTTCAGGCGGTGGACTGTCGGCTGCGAGGACGGTCGCATTTGCGCGAGGCGAGGCGAGGCGAGCATTCAGACGCGTTGTCTGCGCCATGACTCGCGCCAGCGCGTGCGGGAGCTCCTGGCTGAGCGTTGAGTCCAGGCGAGTTGCGCTGGCCACTATCGCTACGCCGAGCCGAGCTGACGCGCCGAGGCGCCGGCCAGTCGCAGCCGTGAGGCATGCCACAGCGGCACAGAGGCACCTGCCACCCATTGGGCGGGCAGACAGAAGGCCAGGGCAGCACTGGCAAGTGCAACGCGCCTCATGTCGGAGAGCGACCGTGCCTCGTTCGCCGCTTATGATGTAGAGTTTGTTGTAGAGATTTCACGTTGTAGAGCGCCTCTACATCGCTCTACAACGGAGGCGCTTCGTCCCGCGGCGGATGTAGAGCTCTACAGCTCTACAGCGCTCTACAGCTCTACAGCTCTACAGCGCTCTACACTCTACATCCTCTACATACACCCTCCCTCCCTCAGCTCGCGTCCCCGGCCGTGCTCTGGTGTGTGTGTCGCTTGGGTCGCCTCTGATGCTGTGTCTCGTCTTAGCCAGAAAGATATCGAGAGCGTGCGACGACAACCAACCCTAACCCTAACCCTTACCCTAACCCCTAACCCTAACCCTAACCCTAACCCGAAGAACCCAAAGTATTCACCGAGAGCTCGTGTCGACGGACCGCTGATTCCTCCATTTGGCTTCGGCCCAAACCGGACCATTCGCTCTTAGGAGCTGCACAACGGCTTGAACTCTCTGACCCTAACCCTAACCCCAACCCTAACCCTAACCCTAACCCTAACCCTAACGACACGGTGCTCCTTAAGAGGTCGCGTCGCGTGTTGGTGTATGTATTTCGGCGGGGGCGCGCATTAAAAGAACATTGAGGCTACACACACGTCCTCGAGCGCCTGAGCCCCGAGCAGGACACACGAACCAAGCTGCTCTCGCACCTCCTCTCACTAGTTACTCGGTTGGGCTCTCTCCTCTCTATACTTCGTCGCTTTCACCGCGTTTGGATGCAAACTTGTGAAATTTTCAGTGAAACGGGGGCGGCCGAAACGTTTCATGTGAAATTCACATGAATTCACATGTGAAAGTGAAAGGGTGAAATTTCACTCACGAACCCTGATTACTTGCCATTTAAGAGATTGCAGGCACGGGGGGTCCCTCTTTTTTAAGACCGTTTAAGAAAATCGGCCTCGCCGGCATGCGTCGCTGGGTTCCGCGCCGTTTTCTCCAATTGTCCAATACTGCCGTTATTAGGCACAAACCCGCTTCTGAAGACACATCTGTAAGTCTGGTGCACTGGCAGGAGCCAACTCGCATAGGGGACGCACGTGCTAGCTGACTGTAGCCAGCTTCCCGGCCTCCGGCGTCTACCGGGAGCCTCCCGGACCATCGACCTCGACCTCGGGAGCTCTCCCGCACCGTTTAAGCGTTTAAGTCTTTTTAAGACCGTTTATGGTTTAACTTTAAGGAGACGAATCGGCGGCCCAGGCAGCCAAAAATCGGTTAAGCCGTAAGCCGCAGCGCGCAGGCCGCAGGCGCCCCAGGGCCCACCCTTTTAAGCCTAGGGGGCCCCTAAGTCGCTCATCGCAGGCTCATCGGTCTCGCATCGCGCAATTCGCACACATCTATTGTTGACGCCGCGGCCTCTCGAACGAGAGTGCCGCGTCGCATACGCATCTAAAAATATTGGAGGAAGGCGAGCAGCTCAAGAGGCGAGATGCGTCGCATGTCCATGTGAGATGTGTCACACACACCCCGGGCCTCGGCACCGACGACACCTCAGTCACCGCGCCGCGGTCGTTTGCTAGAACCGACACTCGGTTGTCAGTACACGACGCTCTCTCGGCGGACACAAATGGCGCGGGTGTGAGGAGGGGCAGGCAGCGCGACACGGCAGCGCGGCAAGCCACCCCCTCTCTGCCGAAGATCGTGCGCACAGCCAAAGTCGCGCGCTCCCCTCGACCGCCCTGCCGCAGAAGAGACAAGAGGGCCGCGGGAGCACAGGAGCGGCTACCTCAGCAGCTACGCTTTGAGGTACATGGGGGCGACGTTCTCGATGGCCGTGTCGAGCGCGTCGCAGGCGGCAACATCGACGACCTGCTTGGTCTTCATCGCCGCCTGCAGGGCGGCGTGGTGCGCCTTGAGCGCCTCAACGTACTCCTCTTCTTTCTCAAAGAGCTCCCGCTTGACGCGCTACGAGAGGGCGGCGGGGGCGGGAAGGGGGAGCGGTGAGGAGAACGAGGGTGGGGGCGGGTTCGGCAGAGGACGAGGGCAGAGGGGTGGGGCGGTAGCGGGGTGGGAGGGTGCGGGAGCAGCAGGGCGGGGGTGGGCGAGAGCGAGGAGCACCTGAGCGAGCATGTACTCTCCGAGGGTGGTCATGAGGGAGCCGGCGTGCGCCTGCGGGAGGGGAGGGAGGGAGAGAGGGCGGTGCAGTGGCAGTGCAGTCGCGGAGGCCTGTTCGCGGACCGCAGGGGTGAGGGAGCGCGGAGGCTGCGTCCGCTCGCCTCCTTCGTCATGACCCACCGCGTCGCTTGGTTGAACGAGAGGGCGTCGTCTTTCCCGACGAGCTCGCCTATCTGGACCATCGACTTGCGGATGGTCGCTGCGTCCTCCTTCATCGCCGCGACGCGCGCAGGGTCGTCGAAAATGCCGCACGGCACCTAGAGCGATGGGGAAGCATGTGACTGATCGCACCGTGACCATTGCGAAAGTGCGAGTCCACCGCTGCAGTGTAACGTGCAGTCCATCGAGGAGGCGGTGCGAACCTGGCAGTGGCCGCGGACGAGCAGGGCAGGACCCGCGCGTGCAAGCGCAGTCGGTGCGCGACGGCGCGTAACGCTGAGCAGCATTCCGAACTGTTTACAGACTTGGTCGGCGGCGGCCTCCGCGGAGTGAGCGCAGCGGATTCTCTTTTCCAGTGCTGTGACCTGTGAGGGGGTGAACCTTCTTTTGTAGACCGCTAGGATTGAGAGCAGCCTCGCTCTCAATCCTAGAAGTCGAAGGATTGTGAGCAGCACTCCTCGCAATCGTAGCATCTCTGTGCGACTGTGAGCACCCACGCTCGCAATCCTACGTCTTCTAGGACTAAGAGTTAGGCTGTATAAGGTTTTCCTCTCGCACCCCGTCTGTTTTCCTTTCCTTTTTTCTCTACAACACCCTCTCTTTTCCTCTCTGTTTTCCCGGGAAAACTCCGTGGAAATCGTCAAATTTTGGGCTCTCTGAGCCGAGTCGAGGCTGGTTTGGGCCCAAAATCAGCCAAATTTTAGGCCAAATCGGCAAAATGCCGGGAATTTTGCGGAGAACCCGTGCATACCTGGAATTTACCCTGCGACCGCCTGGGTATTTTGTCGATTTCCTCAATTTTGCCTTAGATTTTGCCCCAGACCAGCTCTCAGACTCAGGGAAAACAGCGAGTTTCCAGAATGGAGCACCAAACACCCTCTGTTTTCCCTGGAAATTTCCGGAAACGCAAAGTGCTGGGGACCCTCTGTTTTCCTTTTTGTTTTCCGGAAAACCTTATACAGGCCAAACTAAGAGCAGCTCCGCTCACAAGCAAGGTGACTGGTGACGCCTACGACTACTACCAGCGCGCTCACACAAAAACACAGCCCCGGACCCAAGACGCACAAGCAAGCACAGACAGTCGAGAAGGGAAAGACAGCAACGACAGTCAGAAGCCAGCGCTGGGTACCAGGAAGGCGAATGCGATGACGGCCTCTAGTGTGAGCTCTGGGTAGTGGAGAAGAGGGTGGTGGGGAGAGGAGCGGCGGAGGGGGAGGCGGCGGAGGGTTGGGCGGCGGAGACGAGGGCGGCGAGGACGGGAGCGGTGGAGGCGAGGGTGGCGGAGACGGGTGGCGGAGACGAGGGCGGCGTAGGGGAGGTTGGCAGAGAGGAGGGCGGCGGAGTGGCGGGCGGCGGAGGCGAAGGCGGTGGCGACGAGAGCGGCAAGGGCGAGGGCGGTGGAGAGGGGGGTAGCGGAGACGAGGGCGGCGGAGACGAGGGCGGCGGAGACGAGGGTGGCGGAGACGAGGGCGGCGGAGACGAGGGTGGCGGCGGAGGGGAGGACGGCGAAAACGAGGGCGGTGGGGACGAGGGCGGTGGGGATGCGGGCGGCGGGGACAAGGGCACAATTTTCTTTTTTCGGACTCTCTTTTATGTTTTAGTGTATGCAGCTCTCGTGATCTCCCGGAGGCTTTTGGAAGGCCTGTTGTATACAGGTTGTCTATGGGCTCCGCGCCCTTCAACATACTCGTTATCTGTCTGCTGCGGTGCTCGGTCGGCGGACGGATGGCGCTCGCCTGGTGTTTGCATGTACATACATGTGCATGCATTGTTGAGTTCTGACTGAGCGTAGATATATCAGCTGGATAGATAGGAGAGGTAGGTAGGCAGAGAGGCGGGTTGCTTTGGGGAAAGAAAGAAAGAAAGAAAACGGACAATTCAAGGGAGGGATGCGGAGCGACCCGGGCTTGTGAAATTCTTCACTGTTCAGAGCTGTTCTATCGCCTTCGTCGCGCCATGCTCGGCGACGCTGCGAGACAGGATGCCCTCGACTTCGACGCGGGTATGAAGTACAACCCGGACTACAACTTTCTGCTCACGCCCTTTGTGCTCTACGGCCTGCCAGCGTGCTACCTCGTTGCAGCCATCAGCGGCCACTTCCTGATGCGCAACGCGGCGACGTGAGCTCCTCCCTCGCCCCTCCTCCGCGTCTCTCCGCCTCCGCCAGCCTGGCCGCTGCCGAGTCCCTCTCCGTCGCTGCCGCCACCCTCGCGTCGGCCCTCTCCAGCTCTGCCTCCGTTCCTCGACACCGTTTTGCCACCCCGACCCTCGCCCGCTCCGCCCCGCCTCAGGCCTTCGTGGGTGAAGCCGGCGATGCAGCTGTACAACATTGCGCAGGTGGTGCTGTGCACGTACATGGCGGTCGGCATGTGGCCTGCCACCTTCCCCAACTTCCCGAACGTGTTCGGGATCGGGACCGAGTACTCTGCCGCCGGCGAGTGGTTCATCCTCGTCCACTTCCTCTCCAAGTTCATGGACTGGTGCGACACGCTGTGGATGATCCTGAAGAAGAAGTCGTCGGTGCAGATGTCGTTCCTGCACCTCTACCACCACGCCACGATCGGGGTGGTGTGGGGCTTCCTCCTATCCCTCGGCCACGGCAACGGCACGGCGCAGTACGGCGCCTTCATCAACAGCGTCACGCACGTCATCATGTACACGCACTACTTTGTGACGGGCCTCGGCATCAACAACCCGCTCAAGAACTGGGTGACCACGTGGCAAATCACCCAGTTCTACTCGTGCTTCCTGCACGCCCTCTGCGTGCTCTTCTTCCTCCCGTCTATGGAGGTCCACTTCCCGCGCCAGCTCGGCTGGCTGCAGTTCTGCTACCACCTCACGATGATCTACCTCTTCACCTTCCAGCTGCGCTGGGTGCCATCCTTCCTCAAGACGGGCGACGAGCTCGCAAAGGAGGCCGCCGCAGCGAAGAAGAAGAGGACCGCCAAGGCGCACTAGCCGGATCACCGCTGTCCGCGCCCCGCGCCCGTCGTGCTTCGCTCGCGCTAGCCCACAACAGAAGAGAAAACGACCAGCTCTGCTGTGCACACAGCGCCGCGGTACTGCGCGCTGGAGGGGTTTATCGTTTGCATGGTCCAGTACTTCAGGGGACGTGTAATAAATTATCGGATATCGCTCTTACAGCAGCCGTGGTCTTGAGAGAATGTATGTAGTCGTTTGACCTCACTGCGTGTAACTCTAAATAAAGATATCACAGCTCCACGGGGGGTCCGCTAGGAGATACGTCAGTAGAGAGAGACAGACCCACTTGAGTAAGTAGAGAGGGTCTCTGGCAGAGCTCTTGCGGTAGCAGACTAGCAGTCTCTACTCACTCACGTGGCGGCATGAAGGGGGGACGCTGCATCATGGGGGGGCGCATAGCCAAATGCATCGGGATCGGGATTGGCTGCTGCGCCGGCAGCACGGGCGGAAAGACACCCGCCGCCGGGGCAAGCGGCTGCTCACCTTGGCACTGCTGCAACAATTGGTGCTGCTGGTGCTGGTGCTGCGCCACTTGCTGGTGCTGCGCCAGTAGCACCTGCTGCAGCCGCTGCCGCTCCGTGAGCAGCGCGAAGTTGAGTTGCGACGCCCTCTCCTCCGCCTAACGCAGCCATCCGCCGTGAGGGGACTGGGCCACACACAGTTTGAGTGGCTCGCCCCCTCTTGCCTGCAGCCGCCCGTGACGCTCCTCCGACAGCCGCTGCTCCGCAAGCGCCCGCAGCTGCATCGCCTGCTGCGCCTGCGCCGCCTGCGCCGCCTGGGACTGCTGCGCGTGCTGCACTTGGGCTTGCATCTGCTGCAGATGCTGCAGCAGCTGCGGTGGCGGCGGTATCGGCCCCGACACGCCCTCAGGACGGTCCTGCTGTGCTTCACTAGAGGGAGGCTCGCCCTCATGCTCGCCCTCCCTCCGCGCGGCGTGCGCCAAGGCCGCCTCTGCCGCCATCGCTGCGATGATCTCAACCTCGCTGGTCGGGAGAAGCATCGCCGCTTCCGGCGCCAAAGGCGGAGGCTCGCCGGCGGGCAACGGCGCGTCCTCTGGCGCCGTGCCGTCCCCAACGGCCCCTTCCGGCTGGGGCTGCGCCTTCTGCCCGGCGCGCTGCGCCTGCTCGCCGTGCCCCTCGGGCCGCTTGCGCGGCGTCGCGTTCAGCGTGCTCTGCAGCAGCGCCACGGCCGCCTGCGCCGCCTTTCGCGACCGCTTTTCGACCTCGAGCCGCTCCTCGAGGGCGTGCCTATGAGCGAGCGCCTCCCCCGCCTCAGACTCGCACCTCCCCCGCCAGCCTGGAGGCGCGCGGCGCACCGCGCAGCCCGCTCCGCCTCGAGAGCCGTCTCGAGGGTGCGCAGCTGCTGCTGGAGCGCCAGCGGCGCCGGCTGCGGCAGAGCCGCCGCTTGAGCCTGCTCCGCCGCCTGAGCCTGCTGCGTCACTCGCACTCCGACCCGCGCCGCCGCTGCCGCCGCCGCTGCCGCCGCCGCCGCAGCAGCAGCCGCAACCGGCGGTGCCGCCGCCGCAGCCGGCGGCGCCGCAGCAGTCACAACCGGTGGTGCCGCCGCAGCCGGCGGTGCCGCCGCAGCCGCAACCGGCGGTGCCGCCGCCGGCGGTGCCGCCGCCTCGCTCTTGGCTGCAGCGCGGCTGTCGGGGCACATGCAGTAGATGATCTTGTTGCCGCATCCGGAGCAGCTGGCGGCGGACGGCATCGACGGGCTGGGATCGCCGTCGCGCCCCCCCTGCGCGGCTGTCGCCGCTGCGGGAGGCGCGGCGTGCGCTTCTACGGAGGGCCGGCGACGGATCCGGTACGAGGCTGCGGCCTTGGGCGGCTTGGTCGGCGCTGGCTCTGAGGGCTGCTTCCCTCCCTGCTTCCCTCCCTGCTTCCCTCCCCCCTCCTCCTGCGACTCTTCCGCCGCCTCCGGCCTCAGACTGCGAAGCTTCTCAGGCCTCCCGGGCTTTTCTGGCGGCGGCGGCGGCTCGGGCTCCTCTCGCTCTCGCTCTCGCTCCGGCTCTACGTCCGGCTCTCCCTTCGGCGGCGGCTCGGGCGGTGCCTCGGGGCGGGGCGGCGGCTCGGGGCGGGGCGGGGCGTCGGGTTGGGGCGGCGGCTCGGGGCGGGGCGGTGCCTCCGGGCGGGGCGGCGGCTCGGGGCGGGGCGGCGGCTCCGTCGGAAGCTCTTCGGCGGGCGAGCGCGCGAGGCTGCCTTGGTCGCTGCCCGGTGGCTGGGGCTGCGGGCGGGCGGGCGTGTCGCCCCCCGCGGCAAGAGGCGGGTCCGGCGCCAGCTCGTAGGCACTCGGAGGCGGCAGCGGGACCTGCGGCGGAGCACGGGTGGCGGCGAAACGTGCTGGGGCGGGGGCTGGGGCGAGAGGGTTGGGATGGGGCTGAGGAGGACGGGAATGCGGCGCCTTGGCCGCAACCTTCTGGCCGGCGCAGACGTCGATGGGCAAGACGAGGCGGAAGGACCGTCCGTCTGGGAGGTCAGCCTGCATCGTCTCGCCCCGCACCATGTCTTGCGGCGCGATGATAGAGATCGTTTGGACATCGCTGACCGCCGCCGCCGGCTCGCCGCTAGCTCCCGCTTCCGGCGCTGCGGCTCGCACAACCGCCGATGCGCTCACATCGGCCGCCGCCGCCGCCGCAACCGCGCCCGTCCCTCCCGCCGCCGAGCCTGGCGCGCGGCTCGGCGCGCGGCCCTACAAGAGACGAGTGCAGCACTCGGCAGAGAGTCCGTCCTTTGCCAGGGGTGAGCCTGGCGTGCAGACCTCTCGCTCGTCCTCGGGGTGGGTCTCCGGCCCAGCGCTGCGGCTCGGCTGCACGCCCGGAGGGTCGCCTCCGCGGCTCGGAGGGGCGGAGTCGTGCCGCGCCCTCTTCGGCCGCGGCTGGTCGCTCTTCGGCCGCGGCTGGTCGGCTCGCGGTGGAGCGGCGGGAGCAGGCGAGGGCGCGCCCTGCCGTGCTTGAGCGGCCCTAGAGGTCCAACTCGATGCCGAACCTTCGGACCTGTCGCGAGTGAGCGCACGGCGCTGACCCCGGGCGGATTGGGAGCGAGGCGCAGGCGGGGCGAGTGCGCGCCAGGAATCGTTGATGCCGAGGCGCTGGACACCCTTCCCGCGGGAGGCGCGCCTCGCCCGCCCTCCCTCGTGTGGGACGATGCACGGGCCCTCGTGCGGCTGCGAGAGCAGGCAGCCCGACGTCACGAAGCACTGCCCCTGCGGCGGCGACGGCGGCGACGGCTCCTGCGGGGCGTCTGCGGGCCGCTTCTTGCCGCGCTGCTGGACGCACGCCGGGCAGTACCAGTCCCCCTCGGGCACGGTCGCGAGCGGCACAGGCAGGCAGGCGAGGTGGTAGGCCGAAACGTCACACCTGCGAAGGGCGCGTGAATGTGGCATTGCCCTCGGCCCACTGGTGCGAACGCCGCAAGCAAGCTCACCCGTCGCAGAGCAGGATCTCGTTGCCAGGCGCGGAGCGCCCGCTGCCGCATGAGACACATTTCGCCTCGTCGTCGTCCTCGGAGGACCGATCGCTGTCCATGTGCCGGCGGAGAGGCGAGGCGGCGAGGCCGTCTGTCTGTCAGTGGTCAGCAACCGATTTTTTCTTTTTTTTTTCGGCTCGGGTTTTATGGATCTGTGCGGAGCGGATATCCTTTGGCCGCCGAGAGCGTTGGTTCCTTTTTTTCATTTTTATGTCGGTGTCTCGCAAACTTTTACCGTATTCGCGCGCGCTCCTTCGCTCGAGATATGGGCAACTTGCGGCAACGCGGGCCGACGACGGATTCAGCGGCCGACACCCCGCGCACAATGGCCGAGAAGAAGCCGGTGCCTCTCTGGGCAAAAATATACATGTTTGTTGTCTTCGGTGCGCCCATTATTGTCTCCTCACCGCCATTATCGCTTTGGCACTTGCGCCGCAATCAATCCTCGAAAACACTATCCGAAGAGAACTCAACTGCGAATGTCTCTCACCGATGCACTTTTTGTCGCCTTTTGTATTCAGGCGGGCTTTCCTGGGCAGCCACCTTCTTGACGCGCGTCTATCTCCTGAGGACGCGGAGCGTCCCAGCCACTCCGAGCGACGTGCAGAGCTAGCGACCACTCGAGCTCTTGTGTTAGTTGTATAAGCTTTTTTGTGAACAACAACAGCAAAGTCACTCCTGGCCATGCAGGAGTACAGTTAGCGCGTCCGTCATATTGCGCGCCCGAGCGCGCTTCAGGCGCGCCCTCTCATTTGGACACTCGACCTCCGGCGGCGCCATCACCAGACCGCTATTGCGCAGCTTTCCCGCTTCGGCATGCTGCGCCGCGCAACCCCACAGCGCCGTGCAATGCGGCAGTGGGCGGCCCCACTGAACGTGCTTAAGCACGCCCAGCCCGGGGTAGCTTACTGTGATGCGCTGTACGGCATCTTTCGCTGCCACCTGAGGAAGGGGAGGATGACTCCAAGAGTTAGGACCGGCCAGAAAGATGTGGAATGGCATCGGGGATTTGGGGTGAGCGCGTGAGACAGACCGTCCCGTTGGCAAAGTACTTGTACATTGAGCGCCGATCGTAGATCGACCTTTTGCCGCAGAACTTGACGACGCCCCACGAGGGTAGGCTGCGCATGCCAGAGACGGAGCCGGTGTTGAACTCCATAAATAGGCCTTGAATCTTGCTGACCTGCAGAAAGCAGATGCTTGGGTGGGATCTTTTGAACTAACGTTGCCTCTGATGTAGAGCCGGTGGCTTTCGAATTCGAGACTATTTGAGCTCACCTTTGCCTCGTAGGACCGGCCGTACGCCCTTACCACGCCCTCGCCAAAGGCGGCGACGTTGGAGTTGGGAAGCGGGACCGTGAACACGACGCGAGGGTGGGAAAAGTTGAGACTGTTGAAAATGCCTGTGAATGAAGAGCTGGCACGTGAGCAACCCTCGTGCCAAGAAAATCCCAACCCCCAGAGAAATGTCACCAGGAAAGGCGTAGGTGAAAGTGGTCGAGTCGAGCGCGTAGAAGTAGCCGTCGCCCCGCACGAGCGGATGCACGCGGTAGGTGTTAAGGGCCGCAAGCCCTGGCGACACGAGGCTCGAGCACGGCATGGACTAATTGGGCTTCGAGCTAGGCCTATTATCTCGCGCACCGTGCCAATCGAGATTGCTCTCGGCGACGTCAATCAGCACAGCGCGACGCTTGTCTATGAAAGCGCCTGAGATTGCATCGAGAGTCGACCAGCGCGGCGGCCGATCTCGCCCCCCGCCCCCTCTCACAAACACGGTGTCCTCGAAACGATCAAAGCCGATGGCTAGCAGAGAGTGAAGGAGGACGAGTAGCGGGCGCGAGCCGACATACCTGCTGGCGCGGGCCACGGCAGGCGGCGCGAAGCATTTGATGCGGGCGGTCGGGCTCTCAGCGGTGTGGCTTCTCTGTCGCATTGCGGCTCACGTGTTAACGATCAGCTTCACAGAGTTGAGCGGCTCGTGGTCGGCAGTCGGCACTTGGGCAATGAACCGTGCCAGGTTGACGTCTTCTATCGAGCGGCGATGCCACTGGCAGCAGCGACGCCCACACACATCGTCCTGGCAGTTGCCGCTTTCAAAGCATGCTCCTGCAATTAGTGGGCCAGTTGTTAGGCGTTTGCATACGCACCAAGGACAGAGAGAATGAGGCCAGGGTGTTACTGGCTGTCAGGCGCCCGCTCTCTGCGAGCGCAATGCGAGCTGGGCGACAGCGGCTGGCACGCCTTTGCACGGCAGCTGGCGCCGACGCCACAGGAAGTACTGCTTCTGTCGCAGCCGTTTGCTCCGTTGCTGCCTGGGCTCCATGGGGGCTGACGAGGTCGCGAACTGCCAGGCGGCCCACAACCCAGCAAGTTTTGCATGCCCGAGCGGGATTCGGAAAGAAGAATTCAAGTTCCGTTTTCATTGCTCCAGGTTGACGTCTAGTGTCGGTCGGAGGCCCTGCTTATACCCGTCTTCTCGCATCTCGGAGATAGGGCGGGACGGCCGCGCTCGGGATCGCCGCCGCCCGGTCGCGCCGGTCGCGCGCGGCGCCACGACACAGACACACCCGCGGTTGTGACCAAAACGTTCACATACAGTATTCTCATCGTCACAGCGAGATAAACACATTTCCCCACACGGACCGCTAAATGGGCCATTTACTAAATCCGCTCGTATTGCACCGTGAAGCCGCACGCGCACCGCTTCGTCCAGAGGTCGGTCGCTTCGTCGTACTCCTCGTCCGGCGAGAAGACGTGCTCGTGCCTGGCGTGGAGGGGATACATGCGTGGGCTGCTCGCCCCCGGAGAGGCAGTGAGGCGGTGAGACCGCGCCTCTCCGCAGCCAGCTGCCGCACCGGCGGGCGCGCCGCCGCCTCGCCCGCCTTTCCGGCCTGCGCCTTTCGCCTCTGCTGCTTTGGCGCGGCGCGGCCTGCCCAAGAGGGGAGGGAGAGGGCAGATACGTCTCGACACGCGACTGTGCCCACGGTCCCCTCCCCGTACCCCTCCCCCGTACCCCTCCCCGTACCCCTCCCCGTACCCCTCCCCCTCGGACTCGGGCTTGGACCCAGGGGTGGCGGCAGGGCAGCCGGTGCGGACCCACGTGGTGGGCGTGGCGGACGAGAGAGGCGCGGGGTCTGGGCAGCAACATCTCGGAGGCGTCTCGGAAGGCTCTCGGAAGGCTCTCGGAAGGCTCTCGGACCGTTGCAGCGCGCCATCATCTGCTCCTCAGGCGTGCCGCTCTTGAGCTTGCGCTTGGCCTCGGCGCGGCGGAGCCGCTCGTCAGACCGCCGCTCCTTCTCCAGCAGCAGCGCCTCGCTCGACCCCCACGTCGCGAGCGCCAGCTCCTCCACCTGGTGAGCCGCGCCGGCCGCAGGGTGCGGTGAGGAGGCGCCGGGGGGGGGCGAGGAGGAGGCGCCCTCCGAGGCGGCGCCACCTCACCCTCCCACGCACCCCACACGAGGGCAGGCCGGGGCAATCGCTCCCTAGGCGTGGGGTGGGACCTCCTCTCGCCCAGCCGGCAGGGAGAGTCGAGCCCACGCCCCGGGCGCGCCTGCCGTCGCAAGTAGAGCCGCATGTCTCCGTACCGGGCGTCATTCGGGTTGGGCAGCCGCATGCTTCGCAGGCCGCCGCGCTCGCCGTCGAGCTGGCGGTCGCTCAGCAGGTACTCGTCCTTGGCGCGAGACTTGCTCAGCACCTGGTACCTGCCTCCCTCGCCACGGCCCGCCCGCTGGCAGTCGTAGCACACGCTGAGCCCAAACGCCTCCCGAAACTTGGGCTGGGCCCGCCCAGAGCTGCAGTCCACACAGGCGCCGCTCGTGCCGGGGCTGCCCGCTGCGGGAGTGCGAGCGGTCGGCTGCGGTTCAGCAGTAGCAGCAGCGTTCCCGGCGGTGGGAGGCTCCGGAGCGCTCCGGGCGCCGCGCTGCGCCATCGCTGCCAACGCATCCTCGACCGATCGCTCCTCATCGAGCTCCTCCTCGAGCTCCGCGAGAGCCGCCTCGCCCTCCTCGTCCACGAAAGCGTCCATGCCAAACTCTTAAAGGCTCCGCATGGGTACAAAGGATTTTTAAGGGGACACAGACATGTTATCTGCTGGCGCACTCTCCTCATCCGTCTCGCTGTCCCATTCGCTGCCACTACCGGTACAATCGCGGCATCCGGTCCTACACTCCCAGTGTGAGTACTGCTCGCGCGCGCACTTGCACATGTAATCATGATCTATTGGACAGTGAGAGCGGCACGGGTTTTGCATGTCCTCGCTGTCAAGGGGCGCAAAGTCCGTGTCGTAGGCAAGCAAGAATGTGGACTCGAGCACCAAGCAGTCACTGCATGTTTCACATCGGTGTAGCACCACGTGCACGTCGGGCAACGGCAAGTATACCTCCTCAGCTCCTGTCACGGGCACGATCTCCAGAAGCTTGTGTGTGTCGGCCGTTGTGAGAGGCTCTTGCAGGTGGAGGCGCTCAAGCATGCGCCGTGCAATCGTCTCCGATAGCTCAAACCTGCGTCGCGTTACCTGCCCGTATGCGTTGGGGGCGATTGCCTCCCGGCCGAGCTCGTAACGCGCATCCGGGTGCGGAGGCAGCAGCCGCACCCACGAGCCCACGCGCACGTCGCCTCCCGCCATCGCCTCGACATGCTCCGGCAGCGCATATGTCTGCCGCTTGACGAGGTAAAAGCTCTCGCCCTCGAGTCCCCAATGCTGCCATGGATGAAAGGCGACGACAGTGCCTAAGTGGTTCATGGCTCGATCAGGCTCGTCCTCCAAGTTGCTGCCGTGGTGCATGTCCACGAGCTGCCCGACGCTCGGCCACGGCTCCACCGCGTACGGCGAGAGCAGCACCGGCTTCTCATCCTCGCTCTCGTCGAGCAGCACTTGGTGGTGGTGCTTTGGCTCCGTGATTGCCACGCGGCCCGAGGCGTCAAGCTCCAGGCTCATGATGTGCCGCGGGTCGTTTGGCACCGGGTCGGGGAAGCACAGCTGGCCGCGCTCCAGCATGGTGCCGCACTGCCCAGCAAGTTCTCCCTCAGATACACGCACGCGCTGGGGCACGAACAGGAAGCGCTCGCCGAGCAGCCGCTGCTCCTCGCGCTGGCGGATGGAGGCAAAGCTCTCGCCAAGTGGCGGGCGCGCCTTCTCCTTGGCTTGGCGGCGGTGCTGACTGACGACTTGGCGGCGGCGGTTGGCATCAGCCTTCTTGGCCTCGGTGACCGCCTTCTTGCGCTTGGCCGCCCCGCTCTCATACTGCCGCTCGCTGCGCTCCCTCGGCTGCCTGTTCTTCTCGTGCTGTTGCCGCTGCCTCTTCGCCCGCTCCTTCATGATCGCAGCACGTGCGGTCCTCTCCTCCTCGCTCGCATCTGCCGACAGCTTGGGCGGCGGCGGCTGGTCGGGGTCGGCGTGGTCGATCGAGCCACTGACGCTCGAGTCAGCCATCCAGCCAATGGATCGCGAGCACCACTTTTTTCGGGGTGGCCCTGGCACTCGTGTCGGCTGTATGTGTCTATGTACGTGCGAAGAATTAATGTAGGGGGTGGGTACCATACGAAGTAAACTTCTCCTTTGTACGATAATGTGCGTACAGTGCTACAAGATTTTCGGAACCAACCCCTGATTCATCGAGTCGCCGCCCCTCCCCCGAGCGCGGAGAGGGCTTCGACGGCCTGTATCGTCCCGAAGATTGCCCCCGTCGAGGCCGCGACGATGACGAAGATGTTGACGCACAGCTCGAGTCGTCCCACGCCTCGCTCGCCACCAATGCCGCGCAGGCGGAGGCCAAAGACGCAAGGCATCAGAAACGCGGTGAAGGTCGAAGTGCATGAGGACACGAGGTCCACCAACGGGCCAAAGTGCTCTCTGGTGCGCACGAGGATGGCGACGCCGGTGGTGAAGACCACGAAGAGGCTGCGCAGCCCGACGCGGCAGAGCCGCGGGCACGGGCGCTCGTCGACGCCGAGGACGCGCTCTAGCGCAGCCTACGGCAAGATGCAATACGCGCTCCGCGCAAATGTGGGGCGAGAGTTGGCACCCCGCACCCCACGTCCGAGTCAGGGAGAGGAGCCGCAGCCATCAAGTGCACGGTCCGGCATGCACGAGACAGTGTGCGTGCGTGCGCGCGTGCGCCTCTGGCGGAGTGAGCACGAGGGGGTAGGTGAAGATCATCGGCAAAATGGTTGCCGCCTTGATGACCCGCATCATGGGCAGCTCGCTGATCTCAGGCGTCTCATACATCGGTGACTGCACCCCGCGCCCGTAGGTGGCGTACGCGACGATCACGAGGGGCACGTACAGGGCGAGGGCCACGACAAAGGAAGCCTACATATGGGTGGGCGCGGACGTGTGTTGTGAAGTGCCAGGGCGCGCGGCGAGGGCTGCCGCGCAGGATGCTCCTTGATCATCCGCCCAAACTCGCGCGGCCGCCTCATGCTGCTGAGCACGTCCGGGAGGACCGGGTGGCAGCCGTACGCGAAGCCAAAGCTCGCAAACGCCCCTCCGACCGATAGCGCGTCCGGCACGACGATGTCGCTCTGTGGCGACGTCGCCGGTGGGTGCCGTAGAGTCTGCGCGATGACAGCGCCGCACAGCGTCACGTTTATGCCCAGGTTGAGGTACGAGAGCACCGCCAGATCGCCGAGCGATTTGAGGAAGACGTGGAGCCACACGACCCCCGCAACAGCGAGCGCAGCGCTCGGCAGGTCGAGCCTGACAGAACATGCCGTGGACGCGTCACGGACTTATCATGGACGTGTGTGCAGGAGGAGGAAAGGATCGATCCCGCAGAGCCAGTGAACGTTGAGGGCAGCGAGAAGGTGGTAGATGGTCGCCACCATGAGCAGCGTCACGTGCATCTGGACGTTCACAAACAGCCGGCCGGCCCGCCCAAAGGTTGCCATGCCTATGTCGCCGTATGTCACCGGCGCCAGCGGCGCCGCTGGTGCGGGAGCCGAGAGCAGCGCCTCCTCTCGCGCCGTCCTGCGCTCCTACACGGTGCGGGAAGCGTCCCCAAGTGAGAGCCCCGTGTGTCGCCCTCAAACGCATCATGACTGTGGAATGTGCGTGGGCGTGCGTAGGTGTGACGAGAGCATGCGCCTGCACGAGCAAAAGCAGATCGCCGAGCACGCTCGCGGTGTAGCACGCCATTAGACCCATCAGGGCGAGCAGCGGCACGCCCAGCCAGCCAGACTGGCGCACGCCGTATGGCAGCTGCAGCAGCCCCGTCCCGAGGACCTGCGCGGCGGTGGCATCGGTGTGTGGCCACCCGAGCCATCTTTCTCTGCTGAAGCGTGCTGCTGGCTAAAGGCTGGCCCGTACCGTGCAAAGCACGTTGAACCCCGCACCAAGCGTAGAGCTCGTGCCAGCACTGCCAGTGCTTGCAGGGGCAGAGCCGGCTGCAGGCTCGTCGGCCGCGCCGCAATCCGTCGAAGACGCGGCACATGCGACCGACGCAGGTGTGGCGACGGGCGGTGGCGCGATAATGATTGGCTCTGTCATTGGGGTGCCAGCGGGCAGGCGGCGCGGGCTGCTGCAGACCGCGCCAGCGCGTGCAACTTCCGACTCTTCATGTTTCACTATCATCACCTCACGGGAAGATACGGGACGACGACGACGAGGGGGGGGGGGGGGGGGGCTTATTTGAACTTGAACACCGCAGAGCGGCACTCCTCGTATAGACCGATAGCATCTCTGTGCGATTGCGAGCACTCATCCACCCACGCTCGCGATCCTACATACTCAAATACATACGTACGTCATACCTGCATCTTCTAGCTAGCTAGGACACGAGCGGCTCCGCTCACAAGGTGACTGGTGAGGATACGACTACCACCAACGCGCTCGTGGGACGTGGCACCGTATAAGTGTGTGTGTGTGTATAAGCCCGCGCATTGGCGGTGCCCCAAAACGCCCCCACACCCTTCACGCCCTTTCTAACGTCTAAAGCTCTAACACACGAGAGCCTATAGGCATGGCGGTACCCTAGGTAGAGGGGTGTACTCTTGTGATCCCAGAGCGCAGACGAGAGCCAGAGGCATATCGCCGGCCGCGGCCTGGCTGCGCTCGGATCTCACCAGGCTCTCACACACCACGCACATATACCGACGCGCCGCCCGCGCGCCCGCCGTAAATTTTAGCGTCCGCACCGCACTCTCCCCGTTACCGCACATTCGCATCATTGGGTAGGCTGCTGGTCTATATAGGGTTCTCCGCACAACGCACAAGCACAACGTCAACGAACTAAACAAAAGTCGGCTCACAAAAAGTCAACCGAGGGGAGAGGACCGCGAACTCGAGCGAACGCCGGCCACGAGAGAGGACAATCCGTCTGGAAGCCTGCTCGAAGCCGGCACGCGCCTGCGCGGCTTCGGCTCGACATCCCCAGACTGATGAATATCGAACTGAAGAGTAAGACTCTGCACCAGGCCCGATCCTGGTCTACACGAGTGGGATGTGAGGGTCCTCGATCCCGCTGCGGCCCTTGTTCGCAAGCCACAGAGCGACGGCGAGCGCGGCGGCGCCCAGCGCGGCTAGGCCCACCGGCTGAAGCAGAGAGCTTCGCGACGCGGCGGGTTCTGCAGTAAGCGCCAAGCCCGTTTTGACTTTGACGAGGGTAGCGGTTGCAGCCGCGTGCTCCTTTGCCGCAAGCTCGTATGCCTTACGGGCCTCCTTCGAGTCCGCCAGCGCCGCTTCGCACACCGCCTTGTGTGCCTCGGCGTTCGACTTGGTGTTTGGGAACGCGGGCGGCGGCGACGGCCCAATGATGGTGTGGCTCGCAAAGACCGCTGCCGACCCGGCAAGGCTATGGTCAGCCTCGGCCTTGGCCATTCCCATCTGCATCCCAACCTTGGCGCCGCCATTCAGCGTCTTGGATCCCTTGGATGCGTCGAGCGTCAGCGCAGAGGTGATCATGTCCATCCCAAAGCCCGAGGCGGTGAAGGGGGGCGGCGGCGGCGAGGGCGACGGGAAGAGGTCCTGGATGGTATCCTTCAGGACCGGCACGGCCGCCTCCCCGCACTTGAGGGTGGCCATCTTGTGCGTCTCGTAAAGCTTGGCCGCGGCGGCGGAGAGACGCTCTCCGCTCTCCTTGTGCTCCATCTCTACCTCGCGGCTCGAGAGCTTCTCGGGCGGCACTGCCCCGGCGGCAAGGACGAGGAGGCAGAGCATGGGGTGGTGCAAATATAGGCGCCTAGTCGCCCTTGCCCCTCACGGCGCGGCTTATGAGCGCTACGTTTCAAAGTTCCAGAATCCTTTCCGGTTGCAGACGGAACGCACCTCTCCTTAAAATCCCTGTGTGGTGGCGGCGTGCCGTCCTCCCATCCCTCCCTTGGGTTGTGTATTTTCTTTCTTTCTTTCTGGAACGCGACGATCGGGTTTGCGATTTCTTTTCGGGTGGTGCTGCGCGCGCAACGCCCGCAAATTCGCCATGTCGATGGTTCAGCTTGAGCTGGACGAGAAGGACAAGGAGTCGTTCAGCGAAATGCAGCAGGGCATGAATCAGGCTCGGCAGGAGCTCGCGATGGTCGACGGCAACATGCGGAAGGTTGCGACTGAGCGGCGCGAGGCAGAGCTGATACTGGCGGAGCTTTCGGGGATGGGCCCCGACACGGCGGCGTACAAACAGTGCGGGAAGATGTTTATCCAGTCGCCCATCGACCAGCTCAAGGGTTCGCTGACTACCAAGGCTGAGCGGTGCCAGAAGGATCACGATGCGCTGAGCGAGAAGCGGAAGCACGTGACGGAGGCGGCAGGCAAGCTGCAGGAGGACTTCCAGGCGTTCATCAAGGAGCACCTCTACACGCAGGAAAAGTCATAGCGCCCCAATCTACTAATCGTTAATGGCGCGTTTACGTTGGGCGTGGAATCTCTTTTCGGTGTCTGGTTCGCGGGTTCGCACGCCGCTGGGCGGTGGGCGCCGTGTCTCATTGTACAGCTCGGCTCAAAAAAGAAAAATGTCCTCCACGAGTTGTAGCCCGCACGTCCGTAGAGCCCGCCATGTCGCTCTCGCGCCTCGGTCCGAGCCTCACAGCTCTTCCTTTGTAGCGCCGCCCTGCACCGGCGCCTCCCAGACAACGAGCCCGAGCGTGAAGAGGTGGCCCCGCACGGGCACGCCCTTCTCGACGCGCGGGGTCATCTCCTCGTAGGCGATGAGCCGGTAGCCCGCCGCGGCCGCCTCGCGCACCTGCAGCGGGAAACCGTGGGGGGTGGGCGCGAGGGGTGATCGGGGGGAGGGGGTGGAGGCATCCGCCTCACCACATACTCCTTTGTGTGTGCGAATCGGCCCGACGGCAGCAGCCTCCAGCCCGCCGCCGCCTCGTCGGCGGTGGCGCGCTCGCACGAGAACACGAGCGGTGCGCCTGAGGCGGCGAGACGGTGAGGCGGCGAGAGGGCGCTGGGGAGGGTTGGAGGCTGCCGGGGAGAGGGCTGGAGGCTGCTGGCGAGGTGCGTCCATGCGTCGGATGCCCCCGGGGGGGGGGGGGGGGGCGGGCGCACCGGCGGCACTCTGGGGCGCGAAATTGCGCACCAATGGCCCTTTTTGGAGGGGGGGGGGGGGGG